AAATTGATATGAATAAATTGATATGAATAAATTGATATGAATAAATTGATATGAATAAATTGATATGAATAAATTGAAGCTAATGAATGATTTAAGAGTACAATGACTATTAAAAATTGCACGCCTTCCAAACTAATAATTAGATATAATGAGCAGCAAAGCATCAATTATTGATAATGAAAGATTCTTATTTAAATCAAAACTAAAGAAGCACAAAATATTTCGTAAATCTAGATAAGAGACCAACTAAAAGCTAAAAAAAAATTTCATAGAATGATCTAACGTACTACTGCATACGGTAAAGTATGTATATAATGATAATTATTGTATCTTATATTCAAAATAAGTCAACCAATTATAGTAATGTTCTAAAAAAGTTCGGTAATCAGGAAATGGACAATAAACTTGTTGATTATTATTTAATCAGCTCAGAAAATCGACCATCTATTGTGGTTTTTATAATGAGAGCAAGTAATAGTTATATCTTGGCAATTGAATATAAGAAAAATACTGTGTACTTGATGTGTCGGCAGCTCTGGCAACTGACAATTTTTTAGTAAAATATATATGGCACTAATCGTGCACTGATCGTACCTGGGTTTATTAATTTTTCCACCACTTCGTTATTGGGTGTATCATAAAATTGACTAATAAGGTAATAATTATTTCAGTATTTTTAGGATACCTTTCTTCTGATTGGTCAATCACTTTCAATTGTATTTATACTGTTTAAAGTACTTTTTTAAGAATGTAATATTCCATAAGTAAAAAATAAAAATTAAACCCGTCTCTATCTTCGAAGAAGCACTAACATTTACTATGCAAATTAACCCCAAATAATCCCACACCTAGAGATATCTCACTTAGAAGGTGAATTTTCTATGTATATTGTAACTATAGGACTATATGTAATTACTAGATCGTTAAATATTATACAGCTTTTTTTAGAAATTGGCAAACCGATTTTATAAACCATGATAAAGAAGTTTTAAAACATAAAGAACATTAATACATAAGTATAATATATGAGTGTTTAAAACTTTTTATATGTCTACAGGCTCTAACGAGTCTTATCATAACGTGCTCTGTATATAATAAACAATAGATCTTTAGACTTTAGTATAAAGGGTGCGGTATTTATAAAAAGCGAAAAGTGATAAGTTTATTATAATGTAATTTTGTTATTCAATTTCATCATGTGATTAACCAATTACAAAAAGTTATCCTACTAACAATTATCCAAAATTAAAGAAATCCCAAATCCACCTAAATTCCGTTCCACATGCAACATATATTATTGAGATACTTTAGACCAAGATTTATAATGATTTAAGTGAATAAACTAATCTTTTATCTAGTTATAAAATACTAATGAATGTTACAATATCGTAAAAAAATTAGAATTTTATTATAAATATCAATTCGTAAAATCAATAGTAAATTTAAAGAAGTTTTGCAGATTTTTGCGTTATGTGTGGTCACAGCAATTTGAATAATAATTCGTACATTGTATTGTAATTTTTGTAATTTGTATTCTTACAATTTCAAAAAGTGTTTTAAAAAAAATAAAATTGAAAATAAAAAAATAATATAAACATATAAATAAAATAAAATAAGGAAAACAGAATTCCTATACTAAAAGAAATGCATCACAAAAAATCGAATAATATTTTTTTTGCCCGATTTTTTTTTAATAAAGTTAATAAATAACGATAGATTCGCATTAGCCTGGATTCAATGAACAAAATATGTAAAGTTTATAATTATTAATCGTTAGTTGAAGGTGGTGAATGAAAGTGGTGATTACGAAGACTGAGACGATGAAGATTGAGGCGAAGCAGATGATGGTTGTGAAGGTAACAGATATGTTGATGAGGATGAAGGTTCCGATGCCTTTTAATTTGTAGTATCTGTCACATAGATCTTAGCGGCATTGGCCTATACAAAGCAAAGTTATGAGTATTATTTCCCGCTAGGTATAATCAAATAAAAAATCAAGATAGATGGCGGATGCAGGGACCATTAAGTTTTTGTGTTTCATAAAGGAACACATAATCCATTTCTCCTCCGAGATTAATAGACCTTTATCAAAAACTTAATGATTGTCCCATGACATCTATCAGGGCGAAGCTAATAGACGATCCATTTTAGTTAACTTGTAAGGATAAATTTCCCACCCTATCGGGACGAAGCCAATAGGTACAAGGACCTGGGCGAACCCCATCTATCTAAATTTACTATTCTTAATATACTTACATCATTATTATCTAAGAGTTCTTGAGCCCTATTGAGACGAAACAGATGATGGTTGTGACGGTAATGGAGATGTTGGTGAGGATGAAGGTTCCGATGCCTTTTATTTTTATAAAATTTATCCCATAGGGCATCGATCTTAGCGGCATCGGCCTATATAAAGCAAAGTTAATAAATATTATTTTCCGCTAGGTAAATCAAATAAAAATCAAGATAGATGGCGGATGCAAGGACCATTATGTTTTTGTGTTTTATAAAGGGACACGTAATCAATTTCTCCTCCAAGATTAATAGGCCTTTATCAAAACCCTAATGATTGTCCCATGACATCTATCAAGTTGCAGTTAATAGACGATCCATTTCAGTTAACTCATAAGGATAAATTTCCCACCCTATCGGGATGCGGCCAATAGGTACAAGCATCTGGGCGAACCCCATCTATCTAAATTTACTATTCTTATTATACTTACATCGTTATTATCTAAAAGTTCTTGGGCCCTATTACGTATTGCCAGTGCACAAGACTCATCGTCTTGGATACTTTTTGAAGTAATAAAAAATTTACGATGAGCCTTGTGTACACGCCAATAATTTATGCGTTATATTAGATACGCATTAATTCAGGATGAAGTTCTCAGTTGTAGAGAATAAACTTAGTCTCTCAGTACTGTATCAATGTCGCATTTGTATTTGTATCTAAGAGTGATACTGTATAAGTGGCAATTTTAATTACGAAATATCTCGATATATAATAAAGTATAAAAAAAAAAATCTACAAAACAAAAAATAGAAAAAATAAATAGTAAATAATAGAAATAAAAAAAAAAAAGAAAACAATAAAATAAAATTAAAATAAAAGATAAAAAAAAAAAAAAAAAAATACTAAAACCCGCTGATACTTAAAAATATAATTAAGGAAGGACTTGTTCGTTGATGGCTTCTTTAAAGCCACCGGAGTTATCTAAAATCTGATAACTCATACGAATATTAGAAAAGTCTTTGTCGTGCCAAAAATGCACAACATTTATTCCCTTCTTCTGTAACTCCGCACATGGCCAATAGAGACTTTTGGCAACTTCGACCTTACATGAAAAATGAACGATCCACACCTCCAATGGGCAGAGTTGTTGAGCATATTTTAATACTTGCTCATAATGCTCTTCTAATTTTGGTGAGGACGCAGTCGCTAGAAGTTCCAAAATTGCTACGGGTTTATCGTTATTTTCTTTCTTTATTACGAGGTCACAATAGAGATAACGATATTTGCCATCATCACCGACATTTTCCAAGTGCCATTGTCCTGTGATTTCGTAGTTATGCACCTTTGCAAGCCAATTATGCAGGTTTCTGTACATCTCTGCATTGTAGACACTCTCTCTGGGCACCTGGACACCTACCTTTGAATCAACTCGTAACTTATTTGAATTTTTATAAGCACGACTTGATCCAAAGGTAATTGTCTTTTTGTCAAATATTTGGACACTTGACTTCAATATGTCGAGAATGTCTATGGAATTATTAGCTTGCAAAGGTACATTCTCTTTAGGATAAAAAAGACCACCTGGTGACGGCGAAAATTTTGATGACAAAGGTGATGTTGAAGGTGGTGATAATGTTGAAGGTGGTGGTGATGGTGGTGGTGATGATGGTGGTGGTGTCAAAGGTGGTGATGTCGAAGGAGGTGATGACGAAGGTGGTGATAATAAAGGTGATGTCGATGGAGGTGATGATGAAGGAGGCGATTTCGAAGAAGGTGATGATAAAGATTGGGGCGAATTAGATGATAGTTGTGAAGGTGGCAGAGAAGTTGGTGAGGACAAAGGTTCTGATGCCTTTTTATTTTTATAAAATTTATCCCATAAGGCATCGATCTTCGCGGCATCAGCCTATATAAAGCAAAGTTAATGAGTATTATTTCCCGCTACGTATAATCAAATAAAAAATCAAGATAGATGGCGGATGCAGGGACTATTAAGTTTTTGTGTTTTATAAAGGGACAAGTAATCAACTTCTCCGAGATAAATAGACCTTTATCAAAAACCTAATGATTGTCCCATGATATTTATCAGGGCGTAGCTAATAGACGATCTATTTTAGTTAACTCATAAGGATAAATTTCCCACCCTATCGGGATGTAGCCAATAGGTACAAGCACCTGGGTGAACTCCATCTATCTAAATTTACTATTTTATGCTTACATCTTTATTGTCTAAGAGTTCTTGTGCTCTATTACGAATTTCAGATGCGCAAGACTCATTGTCTTTAATACCTTTTAAGATATTTATAAAAGTACAATGAGCCTTTTCTTTATCTGCATTTGATAGCTTTCTACGGTTTCTTTGATATAATGGAGACGTGCCCACTTTTGGGAAGGATAATATTGGAAGTAAATTTCATACGGAATGTTTTCAGTATCTTCTTGAAAATACATTGTTTCAGTGGAAATAACATAATTATGTTATTTCCACTTAATCTAGGTTATGTCTGACGACGGGATCATATTCCTGTTGTCATTTGAGTGACGAACGATTCGTGCTTGCGTCGTCAGAAATATATTAGTATTCGCTCCATCATTCAAGTGACGAACGATTCACGCTTACGTCGTCATTTGAGTGACAAATGATTCGCGCTTGCGTCATCAGTGATATATTAGTATTCGCTCTGTCATTCGAGTGACGATTAGTTCACGAGTTTGTCGTCATTCGAGTGATAATTAGTTCACGAGTTCATTATCATTTGAGTGACGATTAGTTCACGAGTTCGTCGTCACACTTGGGTATCTCACAACCTATAAAAATTATGACAACGATTTTATGTTCGCATTATCACTTCTACATGCGACATATTATTTGCTGGTTTGGTGATTTCCGTCGTCAGTGTTGTGACGATAGAAATGTGACATCATCGTCAGTGTCGTGATATTACTGAACTTATATACCCCGAGCACATACTCGAAAACACACTTCAGGAATGGGTAGCCTTCTCCTATAATTATTATAATATATTACTGAAGTTAGCTACCCTGACACATACACAAAAATATATCCAGAAACATACCAGAAAAATAGGTAGCCAACTTCATTTTTCTTATAATATATTACTGAAGTTAGCTACCATGATCACATACCCGAAAACATACCAATAAAATAGGTAGCCATCTCCCATAATTATTATAATATATTACTGAAGATAGCTACTCCGAAAACATACCCGAAATATGTCATCGAATAAATGTCACTGTGAAGCAGGACACTCCGTGTCTAAAGACATACTCAAAAACACACTTCATGAATGGGTAGCCTTCTCCCATAATTATTATAATATATTACTGAAGTTAGCTACCCCTCATAATCTATTACCGAAGTTATATACCCAAAGTAATTCACTAATCGAGACCACAATTCTCTTCATTCATCTCACTAAAACTTGATGCATCTTTTTTTGACATCTCTTACCAGGCAAGAAAAAAAATTAATTTAAACTTTTCCAAACTATATTGTAATAATAAAATCAAACAAAGATTGATACATACCAATAAAAAACAAAATACCAAAAATGAGTAAACAAAGCGCACAGCAAACACGGTACGGGGGTGGGGAAACCGATGACTATTCAAGTGACTCAGATGTTTATAGTGATAATATATCTGAAAGCGGATCAGAGAATTGCAGTGACTATGGTTCTGATTATGAATCAGATAATGAAACAAATACTATTAAGTCTCCAATATCCCAACCCCCTAAAGTAGAAGAACTAATGTCTAATACGACATATTCCACAAAGCAAGTGAGCCCCACATATTTCAAAAGGCAAGAAAGATTCGATGATAAATTTACACAAAAAGATTTGCTAAATAAAATTCGTGAAATTGCTTCCTCACCCGCCAGAGATATATCAAATAATAAAGGTTCATTGGAGGATATACATCTGTGGGATTATCTCTTACCTAATTACGGAGCAAAAGAAGGAATCAGTCTACTTGATGCATATAAAAGAAAGGAGTTAGCAGATAAATTAGTTATTCAGATAGAACAGGGTAAATATAAAAAGTTTTCTGTTATAGATGATATATCTGAAGTATATAGAGTCCCTGGAGTACATGAATGTATTAACGGACAACGAGCTTTGAGACCTGTAATTGATATTGACGCTCCATTAGGGGATATGAAAGCTGAGAAAGTAAAGGCAAGAGACATTTTCATTCGAATCTGTGTTTCCTTTGTAAGAGTGCTGTATATAATTCTTGATTGTAGTTGGGAAGAGATTTTTAAGGGATTAGTAATTGCTACATCATCTGATGATAATAAATGCAGTTATCACCTCCTATATACCCCAACTCTACTTATTGATTATCTAGAACTCAAAGAATTTACAGAATTGGTATATAAGTTAACAGGAAAAAAGTATGGTAAGTTTATTGATATGGGATTGCCTGGCCGAAATTTTAATCTTCGTCTCATTGGTTCTGCAAAAAACGATCGTATGAAGCGCATACTTCAATTCTCACTAGATAATGGATGGAATGATCTCAATGACACCAGAGTTCAACCACCTGCTAGTGCAGGATTCGAAGTAAGACCTCGCATACTTAGTGTAGAAAAAATAAATAATCAGAAAAAAATAATCGTGGGTCAAGATGTGTTAAAAAAATACGCGAATCTAGTTTTGCAGAAGTATCCTGATTATCTTGGTGGTTGGGATATCGAAGAAAAAAATTCTCAATGGTATGTATATTTCAATCAAAAAACATATCTAGAATGTCAACTATGCAATTGCACACACAACAAGAATTAGCGGTAGTTTGGTCGTGCATATGGTAATGGTTCATTCATTGTGAAATGTTTCCAGCAAAATCGTGATGAATCAGGAGAAATTTACAATGACCCATCTATCGCAGAAAAAATCCAGCAAAAAAATAAAAATAATACCACACCACCTGTTTCTTATAAAATAAAGAGCCCTCAGTTCCCAAAACCCTTTTTGAACGTACCACCCTAATATCAAAATATTAATGATTCTTTAACTACTACAATGGCATATAAAGATCAATATATAAAAACTTTACCAGAAATACCAGATATCTATGTAGGATCATCTTGGGGGATGGGAAAAACATATACTTTAGAAAAATTAAATACCCCCCAAAATGTAAGCATGCTTATAGTGTCAACGCGACATTCTTATTCTAATGCTATTACTACAAGACTTAATCTTGAATCATATTGTGATATTGATGGTCCTATATACCTATCAAAACATCAAAGAGTAGTATGTCAAGTAGAGAGTTTGCATCGAGTAACAGATAAATGTGAATGTCGTGAAAAATGCAAGTGTCCAAAAATCCCTTATATATTAATATTAGATGAAATAGTATCAATTATTGCTCAAACTGGAAGTTGTTTTAAGGGTGCATACTTATCTCTTTCCAATTTCTTTGAATTGATTTATAATGCAAGTCGGATAATTGCATTAGATAATGATTTTACTGATTGTAATATTGAATGGATTAAAACACTCTGACCCAATAAAACATTCACAGTAATTCATAATACATATCAACCCCAAAAAGATAAAACATTCCGCTTGGCCCCTGATAGAGAAACTGTATTAACTGAGTTATGGGATTGGGGTAAACAAATGTCATCATTACCTTTCGAAGAGCAAAGAAGTGCATCACTTATCTGTCATGAAAGAAGAGATGTACAAGGTATTGTTCGTGGCCTTAGAAATGATTTCCCAGAACTACGTATCAAAGAATATTATGGTGGGTCTAATCCTGTAGAGAAAACTCAAGATTTTAAAAATGTAAAAGAAGCATGGAAAGAAGTGGACCTTGTTGCATACACCAGTACATTAAAAATAGGAGTTTCTTGTACCTACTCTAAATTTGAGCGAGCATTTAGCTATATAGAAACCAATGCTGAAACGAATCAGATGTTATTCCGTATGCGATGCATTAAGGATTATATATGTTATATCCAACAAAGGGCATTTAGAGCCCCAACCACAGAAGAGGAGTTGTTTCAATGGTTAACAGAAGCAAAATGCAGATGTCTCCCCAAAGAACTTCAGAATAAAGGGGTATTTCCAAATATCGAGACTATTATTAAAAATAAAGATATACCAACCATTCAATTATGGGTGGCCTTCATGTTAGAAAAATTTCGATCTCAACGGCTATTTGGTTGGAGAATGGTTGATTTTCTTAAAAAGGCAGGTATGATAGTTTCTATAATGGAGTCAATCCCTAAATCTGAAAATAATGATGCATCGTTATCAAAAGCAGTAAGAGTGTCTTCCTCTATTGTTAAAGCAGAAGAGATTTCAGATATTGCTAATGCCGATATTCTCGATTATGAAATGGCTGAGCATCTTGAAAACAGCTCCAAAAAAAGTTTAAATGAAATACATGCTTTAAGGCGATACCATATAGCAGAGTGTTATGAGCATCTACCCGAATCTTTAACCGAGGAGTTTATTGCAGAATATGGTAATCCCAACCATATGAAGTGGTTTAGAGCTTTCTGAAAATTGCATGATGCTGGTATTAATAATGAGACAGCTGTTGAAGCCATTACACATGAAGATTTTAGAGATGATAAACTCACAACTGTCACTCGAGCTGAGAAACATCGAATTTGCCTAGAATTATTGAAAACGTATACGCCTATTAAAGATATTGATGATTGGGATAGATATACAGCTGATATTGTTAAATCGTGTTTAGAATCATCTAAGTCTATGAAGTATCTCCAAGATTTAGTACCAAAAATGGCCCGAGTTTTTGATAATACAGACGCGTCTCGTAGTGCTAAAAAATCTGAATTAAAATCGGATAAAGCGAAACTTGGTTTATTAAATTCAGCACTTTCCGCAACTTATGGGATAAAGTTTAAAACTACTAACAATAAACAAACCCATTATCATCTAGTAGGTCCATTCGATAAAGAAAGCACCCCAAAGTTGCTACCATACCAAACGGGTGAAGGACAATTCTATGAAAATGGTGAGGATATGCATTATAGGTATAGTAAACTCTTACCTGATGAATTAGAACCATCTCCTAATTGTATCTCACAAAATACTCAAAACTTATTCGATATCGTTTAAAACAAGTATTTAGAGTTCGTGATATATTTTACAAAGGGGGTTTTTGTGATGCTTAAAATTGATACTTGTAAAAAATCTATTACAAAGACCATTTTTGTAACGCTTAAAATTGATACTTGTAAAAAATATCCTATTACGAATACCATTTTTGTGACGCTTAATATCAGGATCTATACAATTATTCATCTGCTTCTATTCTCTACGCCTTTTGTCTCTCATACCAATTTCGAAAGTAAACCCTCTTCGCATGTTTAGAACAATATCCTGTCCCAGAAATAGTTAGTTTTCTGCAGATCCCACAAGGAAATTTTGCTATATTCC